CTGATACTTCGGAGGAAATCTTTCAGTCAGGCACTGTGTATTAATTGTATTATAGCGATATCCAAAGGCATCAGTTGGGATCAGGAAGTCCGTCGTGCTAGGCATATAGCCCTTATGAGAGAGAGAGAGAGAGAGAGGAATAGACTGCCATAATATACCTCATACCCTATATTGGTGTTGGGGTTTGGAAGTAGAACAGTGTGTGCTGAAAAAGCTGCTGTGTATGTACCTGGTAGGCCGGGGTTGTATTCTGAACAGTGTCAGTGTAATGCCAAGCAGGCTTTTCTCCTTGACTCTGGCACCTGGAGATCATTTCACACTGAACGCAAAACGGAACCAGCCACAGGGTTCATCGATGGTGACTTGATTGAAAGCTTCTTGGACATCAGCCGCCCCAAAATGCAGGAGGTTGTGGCAAACCTACAGGTGAGATTGGAGGGGGATGAGGGAAGGGGCAGGCTTGGACTTTGGGCAGTTCTGGGTGAGCAGCAGGGGATCTTGCAAATCACAGAGCTGCTCAGCCTTTGTGTGGAGCCCCCTCCCTGTGTCCTGCCAGAAGGTACCAGCCTTGGAGGTCTTTGTTCCTCCTTGCACCCTGGCTGCACTGCTCTCTTGTGTCCTAACCTTCTTCCCCTGGTGCAGATTGATGATGGCAGCGGCATGAAGAGGGAGGCCACCGTGGATGATCTGATCAAGATTGTGGAGGAGCTGACCCGGATCCATTAGTAGGATTTGGAGTTGTCCCCTAGCACCTTCCTCCATGTAGAAAATGGAGTCTTTTCCCACCTGCAGCCGGAGGCCCCTCTCCAGTTGCACTATGACACCAGAGGATGGTGGTTACTTGCCTGGGTGGAAGTAAGGAAACCTCTTTGACCCGAAGTCATCTTGCCAAGGGCTTGGCGGATGCAATATTGGGCAGGCGCCATGTCATTTCCTGCTTGGACTCACCAATCCTGTGGATCTGAGCTCCCAACCCCAGGCTTGTGATGGCAGATTGCTCCTTTTGGGTAAATTGCTAGTGCTTGGCTTCTGGGGTGTCGCTGCCTAAATTCCCCTGTGACTTACCCGTTCACTGTTGTCCTTAGTATCTTTTTATTTGAAGGGGGAGGGAGGGTTGCATTTATTGTGTTTTGAAGTGAAAGCTGACTCTGTCTCCATTGGGGCCTGTGGAGGGATTGGAACAGGGGTGGACAAAATACGGCCCACAGGCTGGATACAGCCTGCCAGGTGATTGGATCTGGCCCATGGATGCCTCAGCAGTTCTCCACATGGGTCCATGCCCTGCCCACTCGCACTGGGGTAGCCCTGCCCACTCGCACCAGGCTCCCACTGCTGCCCACTAGCCCAGGCCGTGGCAAATGCACAGCTTCTGCTGGAGTTATTCCTAGTGTGGCTGCAGCTGAGTGCTGCTCTGTGCTCCCTGCCTCCAGCAGAGGCTCCTGCATTTCATCCTCCCCCCAGCCACACTAAGTGAGCAGTTTCAGCTGGGCAGCTCCTACCTCAGTTCGCAAGGCTCCAGTTTCAGCTCCCAGCCACTTTGGGATGGAAGGAAGCCAGGATCTGGAGCCAGAGCCCCACACACCTGCTGGGAGTAGCACAGCACAGTGGGGCAAGAGTGAGAGGAGGACCTGCTGCTGGAGGTTGTGGGGTACAGAGAAGCACCCAGCTGGCTGCAGCTACACTTAGTACAGCCCACCAGAAGCTGCTCCTGCCCCTGCTGCGCTGTGCTATGCCGCACCATTCCAGGTGGGTGGGCGAGCAGCTTCAACTGGGTGGCTCCTGCTCCAGCGCCAGGACTCTGGCTTCATTCAGCTCCTGGCTGCCCTCCCTGGAGATGGAGCCAGAGCCCCGTGTACTGGGGCAGGAGCAGAGCAGCTTCCAGTGGGCTGTTCCCAGGACAGCTGCAGCCAGCCAGGTGCTGTTCTTTGCCCCCCAGCTTCTGCACCCCCTGCCTTCAGCAGCAGCTCTTGCTTCTGCTGCACCGTACCACACCACTCCTGGTGGGTGTGGGGCTCCAGATGCTGGAAATGGAGGCAGGGGACTCAGAGCAGCACCTGCCCAGGCTGTGGGCACCAGCGCAAGCACAGTGCAGGCTGCCCTGGTGAGAGCAGGTGGGGTTTGGCCCCATGTGGAGTGCCACTGGGGCAGCATGGACACTGCCCAGGGCAGCTCTGTGCGTGCCCCCTGCCTCCTCCCATCCCAACCACAGCAGGCTCCTGGGACCTAGGCATTGCCCCCCTCCACACACAGACATATACAGAGGCACAGGCCCCCCTCCACACCCCACAGAGCAGGGGCATGTGATCCCAGTCCCTCCCACCGCTCTCACTTCACTCAACACTGCTCCCACCCGCCCACAGCCCCATAGGGAGTTTTGGTCAGTTGTTGGTGGGGGTGGCAGTCCTGACACAGCCCATAACAGCTGATCAAAATTCCCTATGTGGCCCTTGGGCCCAAATAATTGCCTACCCCTTGGCTGGAAGGTCATCTCTGGTACTGGGGTGCCCGGGGTAACACCTGTGTCGGCTTGCAGAGGTGCCTGTTTGTCTGGGTAGTGAAGCTGAGAGGGTGGAGAAGGACTCTCTCTCCCCTCTCCCCCCTACCCACCGCAGCCCCCCACAGGATTCATGGGTCACTCAGGGAGGAAGGGCCTGGAAAGCTAAATCAGCGGTTGGTTTCAGAGTTTTACCAAATAAAGTAGAGTCCAAGAGGAAAGGCTGGCTTCTGTTATCTCCTTGTCCCTCTTTTCCATTAGACAATCTTCCTGCAGCACCTTCCCTGGTATGTGCCATTGTTGTAGGGGTCACATCTGTCATGTTACATGGGGAATGCTCGTTCCAGATGTTTGTTCTTATTTGTTTCTCCAAAACTGACTCTTTGGGCTGAAACTTCTGCTTCTTCTCAGCCCAGAAACAGCTTGCCTAGGGCTCCCAGCAAAAATCAGTGCCCACTGGGTACATCAACACTAGGTAAACAGGAGAAGAGTTTCCAGGTGCGTTTCTGTGTACCATACTCTGTCTCCAAAGGGATCTCAGACTTGTCTCTGGCTTACACATTTAGACACATTACTGAGCACATCCCAGCACACTGCTACTCTAGATCTAGGTGTATACCTAGGTGTATACCTACATGTACAGTGCTCTTGAGTATAGCAGAATATTCATGAAATAGTTTTGCTTTCTTGACCCTGCTCTCTGAAGAGCTTGGATCTCTTGCTGCTCTACACTTTCCTCCCTCCCCGGGCAGCTGTTAAAGATTTGTGGATCTCGCTTTCTGCAGCTGGTGGAATTCTGTCTCAGACAATCTTGGGAAGATGGAGTTGAAAGTGGAAGCTTGATATGCTGAACGCTCAGAACCAGGAGTCGAAGGTTCTAAACCAGGGATGGGCAAAATATGGTCCGCAGGCCAGATACAGCCAGCCAACTGACTGGATCCACCCGCGGCTGCTCCCATGGCAATACGTGGGGTTGAGCCCCACCCACTTCTGTTGAGGCAGCCTGTGCTGCTCTTCCACATGGGCCAGTCCGGCCCCAGCCAGCGTGTGCAGCTTTGCTCCCCTCGTCTCCAGTGAGAGCTGCCCTGCTGAAGCTTTCCCCGCTGCTCGCCTGCCCAGAGCCATGCAGCAGAGACAAGAGCAGGAGGAGAAGCCACTGCTGGAGCACCCAGCTGTAGACATCAGGAACAGCCCTGCTGGAAGCTGCACCCTGGCCTTGGAGCCTGGACCATGGGGCTGTTTGCTCCCCTCATCTCCAGCGATGACTCCTGCCCCTGGCCCTACTGTGCTGCTCCAAGCAGGAGGGGCGCCTCAAAGTGCAGGACTCCATCTCCCAGCTGCCTTCCACCTGCTCTGCCTGCCCAACATGATGAGCAGCCACCTGCGGGTGGAAGGCAGCCAGAGTCCTGTGCGCCAGGCAGGAGCTGCCCAGCTGAAGTTTTCACCCAGCTGTGTTCTGCCCCTACTGTGCTGCTCTGGGGAGGCAGGTGGGGGGAAGCTTCAGCTGGGCAACTTCCACTGGAGGGAGGGGAGTAGAACAGCACCTGACCAGCTGCAACTGCACTGGGAATAGCCCCACCAGAAGCTGTGTACTAGCCAGGGCTGGGGCCAGCAGGAGCATGGCATGGGCTGCTCCAGGAGCACACATGGGCTCAGCCTCGTGGAGTGTTGTGGACCGCACTGAAAGGGCTAGCTCTGGCTGCATGTGCCTTCCCCCCCCCCAGTTTTCTGGACCTAGTGCCCAGGCAATCTCCCCCACTACATGTGCACACACCCCTCCAACCCTCCCCAGGGCAGGTCATGCAATGAGTGGATCGTGGCTCAGTGCAGGCCCTGGTCCCAAGCTGTCACTGTCCTGGCCTTGTCTGCTAGTCTCACTCTTGAACACTGCTTCACACCTGCCCAAAGCCCTGTAGGGAATTTTGGTGAGTTGTGTTGGTGGTAGGAAGAGGGGTGCTGACCTGGCCTGCAACAGCTCATCAAAGCTCCCTATGTGGTCCTTGGGCCCAAATAATTTCCCGCCCTGTTCTAAACCCGGCTGTGCTCTTTCTGTGAGAGCTCTGAGCTGTGGCACCACTGCAGCATTTGACAGACCAGGGCTCTGAAGTCAGCAATGTTCCTCCACTGTCCTGGTCTGCAGCTGTGAAGTGCTGCACCTGCTTTCAAAAGCCCTTGAGGGCAGAGTTAAGGTTACTGCTAGAATCAATGCCTGGATTTCTACAGAACTGAAGCAGCCACACCATTATTTTTTGCTCATTTTCATGTGGATTCTCACTTCCTGCTTTTGCTTGGAGCTCCAGCTGTCTTGCTGTATATGATGGCTGCTTCTGGTTCTGTCTCTTCTTTTTAGGGAGCAAAAGTACTGTGTTTTTAGTGATGTCTACAATAAGATTCCTGTCCATTTGCAGAATGATGGGGCAGACAGTCCTATCTGGAAGCTCTGCTACTAGACCACAGTCAGCTCTGTATCTGTACAGACAGGAAAATGAATGGTTATTAACCACATTTTCCAGGTGAGGAACTGAGGTACAGCGACTAAACAAGTTACCAATACAGTGTCAGTGGAACAGACAGACCCTGATCTTCTGTCCCCCAAGCTATGCTGGAAAAAAAAAATCACCTTTGCCCTTTTCCTTGTAGGATATAGCTGATGTCTGGTCTATGCAACAAAGCTCTGCTGGCAGAACTCAAGTTTTAGCTGCAGACATTTACCACTTATCTATATACACACGGGTTTTCTAAGACATCAAAACCATTGTTTCTGCCAGAGATACAAGTCACCTCATGAAAAAATACAATGTTGCAAGAAAGAACAACATAGGCTTCTTTGCTGTCCAAAGTGGAAGCCCCCATGTCTACCATCACCTTTCGTGTAGAGACTGATATGAATGACCTGTTCTCACTTTCTTGCCAGAGTAGAGAATGGCAGTGAAGTGTGAGAGCCCATCCTTTATGGCAGTGTTTCTCAATCCATGGGTTGTGACCCAAAAGTGGGTTGCAAGGATATTTCAAAGGGTTGCGAGCAAGTGCCAGAAAAACGTGCGACTGCGGGTTTCCCTTTGCAGGATGGCAGCTTTCCAGCCTGCAAACGGCTGCTTGGGGCATAGCCAGCTTGCAGCCAGGCAGCATTGTGGGAGCAGCCCCAGTGGCCGGATGAAGGTAAGTGTATGGGAGCGGGGCTTGGGGACTTTCAGGGTGGGTGGGGACGGGTGTGTGAGGCCGAGCAGGTGCCCGCCAGCACTGCAGGAAGGAGGCTGGGGGGCCGGCCAGGTGCAGAAGCTACTGCAGGGTGGGGCATTGTAGGTCGGGCACCAGCAGGGCCAGGAGGTGCAAGTCAGGACAAGCCATCGATCTTTGCAAACGGGTCCCGGTACAAAAAAGGTTGAGAACCACTGCTCTATGGTATACTGTGCTACTCAAGGTTTTCTTTTTGTTGGAGTCAATGAAAACATTTAGCTTCAAAATTCCAAACAGCCCCAGCAAGAGGGAGACATGGTGTTATGGGGAAACAATGCTGAACCCAGTTCAACTTGATAGACAAAGCTGTTACATCAGCTGCAGGGTGACACATCCTAAAATCTATTGGGGAAAACCGCATAGCTAGGGAGGAGAAGATGGGAAGGTGAATGAGCGGACTGTTAGAGAAAGTGTTTCTAGCATGGCCCTCCAAAACAGGTGGCGCTGGTCACCAGCAAGGGCCAGGCCAGAACGCTAGACTGAATGGACAAGCTCAAACAAAGGGATTCTGATGTTTATCAAGGCCCATGCCTACACATGTGGAAAAAAACCCCAAACCAGCACTTTACTTTCAGCTCAGTGCGTCCCTGCACCAAGCGCAGCCCCTGCCCAGAAGAGGCACTGCGTTAGTTTGATCCAGCTCACCCAATGTCAGGCACTTCAGCAGGGCGTTTTGGCACTTTTATCTAATAGCTGATTGAATCAGCTATTAAAAGCACCAAAAAGCCCTGCTGAAGCGCTTGATCTATATAGACACTGGGGAGATGGGTCAGAGTAATGCGCTTTCTTTTCTGGTAGAGTGCTGCTTTTGTTTTGTTGTTTTAAGTCTGTCAGTGCCCATTAAAGGGTAACTTTTTGGAAAACAGGAGTCTCTTGTGCCAGCTCAGGTAATTAGGATTGCTGATCTGACCCAGGAGAGACCAGATACTATCTAGTATATCTACAATGGAAGCTTTATGGATTAAGTGCCTTCCCAGAGGCTTCTGAGATCAATCTACCTGGCACATTAGTCATGGTAGATTAAAAGCCAGTTATTTAAAAAATCTATTTAAATAATATTTTTATTTAAATAAAACTATTTAAAATTATAATAAAGACAGGTTAAAGCTTACATTTATTATAATTCAAACAGATGCTTTACATTGTTTAATTCATCAGCTGAAGTCTTAAAGAAAATCAAACCTCTGAATGGCTGGAAATCACTAGTTCAGCACTGCCTAGTTTATTGAAATGCTAAGCTAAACCATTGTTTTGCCTCTGTAGCTGTATACATAGGCTATGTTTTCTTAACTACAGTTTATTGGTCAATTAATTTGAACAAGCTCAAAACTAAGATACCAATTAGGAGTTGAAAAACCAGCAATGCTTCTTTCCTTCTTTTATGAATCAAGACTTAGTAAAGGAGGATGAAATCTATTAGTTCTAAGATATTGGAGAAAGTGGTAACCAAAAAAAATCACTTTAGTTTCCATACTATGGATAAGTGTTTCATAAATTAGCTTTAAATGTAAGAGTGATCTATGCATCCACCACCTTTTAAGGTCAAAGTAATTAAAAAAAATGTTTTTGTGCATTTTTAGTTGAATTCCAATTTCCATCCAAATAGCTTGATATACGTTATGACTACAAAATTAACAATCATTTAATGAAAAGTACAGCAATCTCCATTTCCCAGCATAAAATGTAAACAATTGAGAATGCAAATAAATGTACGTTCAGCTTTTTAACGGCTTAAAGGCATCTGTTACAGGTAACTAATAGTTCTGGTTACCAAGGAGAACTACTAAATGTAATCTAAAGGCTATATTTATCCGTATGTTTTTAATAAGTGCCGAGTAATGGAAATCAAAATGAAAAGTCTTCCTTTAAAATTATACAGATACAAAACAAGATTCAAATAGATGATCTAAATAAAGATCTCCTGTTTGCTAAGTCCTTACTCCTGTTTCCAGAGACATAATGACATGGCTGGAGTGCCTGGGGCAGCAGCCATGCACAGGGGCAGCATTGACTCTTCATTGCTGCTGCCAGCGCAGTTGTGCAGCTGCAGTGGTAGCTGGTTACCCTGCCCTACGCTACTGCTTGTCCCGACCATGGATTTGAATAAATGGCAGTCTTTCCCCTTTGGTTTTCCCTTCTGCAGGAAGTGGATATTCGGTTCAAATGCAGTGTGAATTTTAACTTATGCAAAATGTTTTGAGATCTTTCAATGGGGAAAAAGGCACAAAACAGAAACCCTCCTTGTCAGGAACTATGATCTAACAGATAGGACGCTGGGCTGGTTGCTCTGTCCCCAGTTCAGATTCTGGGCAGTTCACTTCACCCATCTGCACTGCTCATTCCGCTACTTAGACCAGGGGTTGGCAACCTGTGGCCCCAAGGTTCTGAATCCAGCCTACCAGGCAATCATTTTACTTTATCCAGCCTGCGAAGCCTGGCTAATCAGTTGCAGTTCAGTGGTTGCAGCTGGTTCTGAAGCTTGCCTTGAACTAAATTGTATTGTTGTGGCCTGCTGCTTCCAAAATGTTGCTAGCCCCTGATTTAGACAGCCAACTCTTCAGAGCAGGGTTTTTTGCTGTGTGAATGTACCACCTTATCCTATAGAGGTGAGACTAGCCTCAGGGAGCTACAGCCATATAAGTAAATGCCCAAAAATGCACCTCTTGAAATAAAAGCATTTAAACACCTCCTTGTACTTCTACAGTGGCAGAAGAAAAAGCCAGAAGTAAACAGACGTAGGTATAGATGGCATTTTGAAAACTTGAGCTTCTGTAAAAGCTCATAGACCCATATTCACAAATCTTAACTGGTAGGCAAGGTTTGCCTTGCCACTGGCTCTTTGAAGTTGCTACTACTAAGATGCTTGCATTTGGAAATGTCTTTATTTAGAAACGCTATTTTTAGGACCAGAAAGTGGACCATGACCCTTCTAAATGAGTCTGGATTCTCTACTTAAGTAAATCAAATGCTCACAGACAATTTGGTTTCTTTATTAGCTCTAGCTTTTGATCATAGCATTTCTCTCCTCCTGGGGTGACTTTTGACCTGTTTTCAGCATGGTTGTTCTGCCTGTTGCTTGGGGTAGGATCTCCTCCTCCTCCAACATTTTCCAAACATCTGAAAGCTGAATCCTCCTTAGGGAAATAAAATCAATTACGCTCCCCTTCAGCTGTGCCATATGTCTTGTGTAAATATATGAATTTATGCATTTCTAGCATGTGTGCTCCCACCCAGGGACACGCGTTTAGGAAAACATTGCTGAAGATGTTCAAAGCTTACAAGAAGGGAGAAAAGTGTCATGCGAACTGTGAATTAGTTAAAAATACTGATGTTTGAAATGTGTTTTAAGTACTTCTTGTTGAGTGGAGCTTCACAGTTTAGAGAGGTGGCTTCAGGCTCTCTGCAAACTCGGGTGAAATTGCTGCATCAGCTTTGCATGGGTCATGTTTTGAAAGCTTTATTTGAAACTAGATCAGGGGTCAGCAACCTTTTGCCAGCACAGGCCATACTTCGCAACTCAGTCACTGCCGTAGGCTGCAAGTCTCTGCCCCCTAGAGCAACCAGCTGCCTGTGTTTACCCTTGTGGCTGATCCCCATCCTCTCTACAGCAAGAAAAATTGCAGATGCATCAGGGCAGCAGGCTCCACAGCAAAGGAAAGTGCTGCAGAGGGCATGGGTAGCATGGCACAGCTCTGTGCCTGATCAGACCTTTGCAGGCTGGATTGGATCCCTTTGGGAGCTGGATCCAATCTGTGGGCTGTAGATTGCCAACCCCTTGTTTTAGATGAAAGCTGGAGAAGTGAGGTACACATGATCATGCACAAAGTGAAAAAAGGTCCCTACCCTTTGCACAATGCCTTCATGTTCAGTCTTTCCATGGCCCTCTTGGACTCATTAGAGAGGTACTCTGTGAATTGCACCTTCTAGCTTCCATGTATTGTTCTTTGAAAGAAGAATGTAGTAAGGATTGGTTCCTAGCCTTTGTGCTTTTGTCAAGAACTGTGTGCTTAACTTTTCTTTTCCTTTATAAACATTAGAAACATCAAGTGTGGTCTTCCGTGTTTTTGTTGATGGTCTCAGACGTTGTGCATAGTTTTTTTTGTGGTCTTTTATTGAAAGTGTGGTGGTATCAAATCTTTACCAAAATTCCCCCCCCCCCCCAATTATTTAGAAGGCCTATGAGTTACGTTGAGCTGTAAACAGTTTGAATACAACTTCCAATTTTAATTTGGTTATTTAGAGATCACTGCCTTTATCCCTGTGATGGGCTCCAACATTTTTGCTGGGGATTTTTTTGGGTGCAGTGAGACTTGTATTTTTAGGGCAAGAAAACAGCAGGAATGGGAAAGGTGAAAGCTAGAATTCTGTTACAAAAACTCCCATATTATTTCCTTACAGGTCACCTGTGAAAGTGATTTCTGAACATTTCAGCTTGTTGCCCATTCTGGCAGCTTGTTTGCTACACAGTGTTGTCCTTTCAGCAGTAGGTTATCTTACAATAGCACCTAGCACCAAAGGGTTGCAAGCCCTGTTGGGGCCCTCCAGGGGCAAATGAAATATGAGTAGTACAACCCTGACCTCCCATCTGCTTTTGCTGGCTAAAAGTCCTGCTCTGCTGTTTGCAGGCACAGGGCATGTGTTCGTCCCAAACCACTGGCCAGTTTCCAATTGTGTGATTGCTGTCAGACTCCCTCCATGCCTTCTGCACTATCCACTGGCTGGCAGCATCCTTGTCCTAAACTATGGTGTGGCATTGCTTTTAAACGTGTGCTCCGTTCCACCCAAGAGGTGGCTGCATTTCACAGGAGGGCACAGTGGGGTTCTGCATAGCATTGTGGTGTGTAACTGAACCGCCTAATGTAAAATGTCAGCTATAACTTGTCAGGAAAATTCTCCCTTCCTGACCTAGGCAAAGCGGCCGGGGGGGGAGGTGTTTCTCTCTGGCAGTTGGAGATGAAACAGCAGTTGGATCCTTCATCTCTGCTCTTTCTTGATGCATCCCTTAGCCTGAGTGTGGTCATCTTGGCCTCCACCTTGCTGAGCCAGGTGTGGTCTGTTGCCTGTTTCACGGGCCGTGTTGCTGAACATCTGGGTTGGGATAAGCCACCGAGAAGAGCCTGTCAGCTCCCTGCCAAGGTGGGATGGGACCCTCAGGGGCTCCACTGCATGCTTGGGGAAAGTGGCCTGGTGGGCTAGCAAAGCAGGAGAGCTGTGTTGTGCTGCTGGCTGTGCCCTGTTCTCCTTGCTCATCTGTTTCCATTCCCACTGGTCCAGTTAAGGCTACAAGCTCTGCAGGCAGGGACTGCAGGTCTTCCTTTTTTTTTCATGAGGAATCTACACCATGTCTGGCACCCAGGGGCCCTGAGTTCAGTGCAAGCTTTTGCCACCAACCCTTGTGCCCATGTGTACTTCACTAGCCTCCAGCTGGGCCTTTCCATCAGCAGCTGGATTCTGAGGGTGGGAAGTCAAGGGGCAAGGGGCTGGGAAAGGCTGAGCACAGCAGGGCAATGAGAGGGAAGGGAACACTGTGTGGGGTTGGCAACTTTGGACTAGATGATCTCCTGAGGTCCCTTCCCATGGGCAAGTGGTGCCACCATCATCAAGGTGGGCATGGGCCCCATCAGTGACCAGTCAGTGACTGGCCAATCTTCCCAAATTGGGAGGGGCGGGGGAGGGTCCTCTGGCTGATCGGGAAGCAGCCGCAGCGCTCCCAGAAGTGGCCGCAGTGCTGCATCTGGTGCCCACTCCCTGGCCTCCGCTCGCAGGGGGGGCACTGGCGCTCCCACCTAAGCGTGGCCTGTCCGGGGGTGCACCCCTGCTCTCAGTAGGTGCACATGCACTGGCTACAAGTCACCACTGTCCCTTCCAGCTCTCATTTTTCCAGTGAGAGGGGACCGCTTCTGGCTGGGGGTGTGCACAGCCCCCTGGCAGCAGGGTGCTGCCACCTGGGTGCCCCCCTGGCATCCCAGCTGCCCTGACCTGGGAGCCTTGGGCACCTGCAGGGCGCAGGTATGGTGATGCTGTGTGAGGACCCCCTTTCCCTCTGCCTGCCCCCACCCGGGGCTGGCACCCCTGCCGCATGAGCGCCAGCGGCTCCACTTTGGCCCCTTTCTGTGCCGCAAGCTCCTCTCTGGTGGGCCGGGCAAGCAGCCCAGGGCCCGCAGGAGGGGTGGGGCAGCCAGGCCGCAGCTGTGCCAGATGTGGGAAAGGAGACCCGGGGGTGGCGGAGCCTCCTTCCCCCGCGCACAACAGGGCTGCTGCGCCTCGCCGGTGCGTGCGGGGGGGGCACGGCCGCCCCCCGCATTGTTGGGGGCAGGGCGAGGAGGAGGGTCCCGGGCAGCAGCATGTAGGGGGCAGGGAGGCAGGAAGGCGATCCCAGGCGGTGCCGGCCCCGGGCGGGAGGCGCCGGGCATGGGGGCCGGGCTGCTGCTGCGGGCTGCCTGCGTGCTGGCCGCGCTGCCGGCCGCCCAGGCCAGGCTCTATCCCGGGAGGAAGAAGCCGGGCAGCTTTGCCGTGGAGAGGTACCGAAAGGATCCCCTTCCCCCCATTCCGGGGGAGCCCGTGTAAACGCGCGGAGCGGAGTGACTCCGGTTGGGGCGCGGCGGTGCCTCTGCCAGGCTTGTGCTCAGCCCGTGCTGTGTGCACCCTGCCCTGGGGGCGTGGGTGGCGCTGGGTCCCTCGTGTCTCTCTGTCTGCCCACCTCGTGCTCCAGGGGCTCCGCTCTGACCCTGCGGCCATTTGGGGTGCTCCTGTCACACTCCACAGCTGCCCCCTGCCTGTGTGCTGGACGCCGCGTGCCATGCTGGGGCACGCGTGTCTGCAGCGCGCGCCGCCGGTCCAGCTGTGGGTCTGTCCGCTTGTCGCACTCGCTGCTGTGGCGTGTGTGCCCGTCTGGCTGCGCCACCTCCCGGTGCCAGCCCCTGAGGGAGCGGGCGAGAAGCCTGTAGGGCCCTCAGGTGGGCAGGATGTCGGCCCCCAGCACCGAGGTTGCTCCCTTGTTTTCCACAAGGCTGGTCTTAGTGGGACCTTGGGCGGAGCTGTTTCTTTTGCAAGTCACACGGCCCAGAAGTGTTCCCGCTCTCTCCCTGGTGGGAGCCGACTCCCGTGGCACCTTTGGTCCCACCTTGTGTCTGGCAGCCACAGTGGGCCGAGAGGCAGGGCTCAGCTGGCCCTTCCCAACTGCCTCAATGTCCTTCTCCCTACCTTTGACCTGCGGGTGGCTCTGGCTGCCGTGTGTCCCAGGCTGGGCGTGGGGAGGTCCTCCGAGAATCTCAGCATCTCTCCACCCCAGGCGCCGCATGGGACCACACGTCTGCTTCTCGGGCTTTGGAAGTGGATGCTGCCCTGGGTGGATGCCGTCCCCAGGCAGCGGGCAGTGTACCCTGCGTGAGTATGCACCGTGGTGCCTTGCCATCCACCATCACCCCCGTGTTCCCTGTGAAGCCCCAGCATCTGACACATTGCCTGTCTGTGGTGCAGAGGTCCCCGCAGGGGTCGATTGTCTCCCAGTGACCGAGCTGCCATAGGCAGAAGCACCCATCTGAGTTCCTCTCTCTCCCCCAATTCCTCCTTGTACATCTCCAGGCAGAGGCCCCTGTGAAGACCCCTCGTCCCCATCCCCCAGCTGGTCTTTTCTTAGTCAGGCTGTGTGAGAATTGCTTCTTTAGGTTGCGGTGGGAGGAAGGGAGGGAGGGGATCCCTATGGGCTCTCCTCGCATCCTAACCAGTCTGTCTCTTGGCACTGCCTTCCTTTTCCCTCAGCTCTCTGCTCCTTTGGCTGTGGCAATGGTCTCTGCATTGCTCCCAACGTCTGCTCCTGCCCAGATGGCAAGCAGGGCATCGCTTGCCTAGGTAACTGGACCTGCTCCTTCTTGCCTTCTGGCTGCACATAGCCATGTACCTGTCGCTGCAGGTGCTTGTAGGAGAAAGGCTCTTTTAAGTCAAGTGGTGGAAACGAGAGGTGGGGGGAGAGGGTGGGTGCATAGGGAGCCAGGACTCCTGGCTTCTCTTCCCTGCTCTGCTACGGACTTGCTACGATTGCTTAGAAGAGTCACTTCTGTCTCTTGCTGCCTGCTCCGCAGATTCTGCAGTCGTATAGGGTAGGTTACTCAGCTCCAGCCTTTCCCAGGTGCGGGTGCTATGGGGAGCAGGGCAGAAATGCTGGGTGCTGGTGGGAGCTTCTGGCTACTCCAGCCCCAGCCTCTTCCAGTAGTGGTTGCTCTAAGGCAATGTTTCTCAACCCGTGGGTCGTGACCCAAAAGTGGGTCACAAGAACATATGAAAGGGTTGCAAACAAAAATGGATCAACAAAGTTTAAAAATGGATTCTCCTTTACAGAAAAAAAGTGGGAAACAGTGGCTTTTCCCTTGCAGCCTAGAAGAGTTGCAGTCTGCAAGGGGCTGCTTGGGCCCCCACCCGTGTCCCACACACCCACCCCCTTCCCCACACACTGGACTGGGGGGCTGGGACCTGGGGGCAGCGGGTCAGGAGTGAGGGGCACTGGGTTGGGATTGGCCACTGATGTTTACAGATGGGTCCTGGTACAAAAAAGGTTGAGAACCACTGCTCTAAGGAACAGGTGTTGTGTGCACTCAGCTTTTCCAGTGTCAGCCCTTGTGAGCACCCTACACAGCACAGGGGTACATAATTTTCAGCAACCCTTGTGCCTGTGGAGGAGCCTGTGCCTCTTCCCAGAGCTGGGACAGCTGGGCACAGGCCTTGTCAAGGTCCTGCTGCTGAAAGATGTGTTTGGCCCCTTTGTTTGCATCCAGGGGAATGATCCCATTGAGAATTGCTCTTGGCAGTGAGGTGCCATCTCTCCTTGTCTATGGGTGCACTGGACACATGCATGGACTCCTGTGGTACCCTCATGGTGTGTGTGTGTTTCAGATCCACCCAGTGCCTGTGGTGAGTATGGCTGCGACCTCACCTGTAACCATGGTGGCTGCCAGGAGGTGGCTCGTGTCTGCCCTCTGGGTTTCTCCATGGTGGAGACAGCTAATGGTGTGCGCTGCACAGGTGAGAATTAGCCAGCTTGCCTACCAGTCTGACAGCAGGCTGATCCCTAATTGGAGCCCTCCCTGTGGGCTTGAGGCACCTTTCTGTCATGGAAAAGTGGGTCTCAAGGGCACCTGTGCGCTGGCTGCATGGGGTATGGTGCGGTGACTGAGCTTCAGGGCAGTGCTTTGGCTGGCTCTTTTTGCTTGTGAGGTGTAAAGGTTGGGGGTTCAGTTGTTGCAATGGGACACAAGAGCGCTTGGATCCTCTGCAGAGGCAACCACTGGCAAACTGCAGGATCATTTGCCTTCCCCATGCAGCTGAGCAGTGGGTTTATGCCAGCACCCCTTCTGGGGGTATCCAGGCAAGGTTGCCAAGTGTTCCTGAGTCAAGAGGGTGTACTGAGGGTTGGCTCTGCGTGTTTGTGGTGTGCCCCAGGTGTACAGCCCTGATCCTGCCCTCTCTCCTAGACATCAACGAGTGCCTGAGCGCCTCCTGTGAGGGGCTGTGTGTCAACACCGAGGGTGGCTTCGTCTGTGAGTGTGGCCCAGGCATGCAGCTCTCTTCTGACCGCCATAGCTGCCAGGGTGAGTCCCTAGGGGGCTTTCCAGGAGGGACTTTGTGGGATTTTGGAACCAGCCAGATTAGAGGTGAGCTCTGGAGTCTCCAGGCTTGGGGGTGGAGATGACTTATAGTAACCTCATTATCTTACCTTTCAGACACAGATGAGTGCCTGGCCACCCCATGCCAGCACCGGTGCAAGAACAGCATTGGCAGCTACCGCTGCTCTTGCCGCCCTGGCTACCACCTACATGGCAACAGTCATTCCTGTGTGGGTGAGTACCCTGCCCTCTCCCTAGCGATCCAGTCTGGCCCAGCCCTCCCCACTCCACCCAGGACCTTCCCTGTCCTGTTCCCTACCTCGTTGTGTGTCCCCTGAGACCCATTCTCCAGTCAGACTTGGATGCCAGAGTGCTTGTGCCCTTGAGGGAGGGGCATGAGTCCCTTTAATCCTTTGTTGCCACCAAACAGGAAACCGAGACACAGAGAATTGAAGGGCTTTCCCCAGAGTCAGGCCCAAGGAGCATCAAGTCTCGGGGAACAGTGGCTGAGGTGAAGATCAGGCCCTCTGAGCTTTTGGGCAGCTGTGTCTACTGCATGCATGCAGGGAATGACTCAGTGGGTCTGGCTTGTCCTTGGTGTAGAGACCATGGTGGCTGCCACCATGCCCTTTTTCACTTCCTGTAGCAAACCAACCCCTTGCTGACCACCCACTGGCCTGGGGCCTGGGCTTGTGTGGTGCTGGGTACTGTACAAACACTGAACAGAAAAGGCAGTGCCTGGCCCAAGGAGTGCACTCTCTGCATGCCTCTGGATTCTCCTCTGATCCCAGATTGCTCTGAAATGGCCTTGTCTGTGCCAGACACTGGACAAGATTACACCAGGTCCAGTGACCCCTACTGTTGGTCCCTGGAGTTCCCCCCGCTTGACATATCTTTCAGCTACCCAGTACCAGATTAGTGCTCAGGGCCCAGCTCTGGGGTCTTCTGCCTCACCTCCGCCCTGGCAGAAAAGACAGGCCTGTGTTTGGCAGGCTGGCGAGGCCCCTTGTGCCCAGACCTTGGGTGAAGTGTGCAGTCCCTGGGCTCCTACCCAGCTCCCCAGGTACCTCTCCCTCCCTGCTTCATGCTGCTTCCAGGCCTTTTCTGATGCTTGGGTCTTTCCCCTTGACCACCAGATGTGAACGAGTGCCGCTGGCCCAGTGAGAAGCGTGCCTGCCAGCACTCCTGCCACAACACTCCAGGCAGCTTCCTGTGCACCTGCCGCCCAGGCTACCGGCTCAGTGGGGACAGGGTGTCATGCGAAGGTAAGGGGCAAACCCTCCTCCCTGGGGTGCATGGTCCCACTGGGGAGGTCCTTGGGCACTGAGGGGGCTCTTAGCAAGTGTTGCCTTCTGCCGTCTGCTGCTGAAGGCAGGGAGGGGTCTTTTCCACTCCATAGCTCAGTGGAGTGGAGGGCTTAGTAATCAGGTGCGAGGGCAGACTTGGTCTCCTGCCTCTGTTCATAACTGATGATGACTCTGAGTGGCAGGGGCCTTGGGGGCGGTCTGGTTTTGTGTTCTGGGTGTACCCTCCAGGAAGAGCTGATGGCCCTGGATACTGGGCTCACACCACACCAGTTAGTGGGGTCCCTGCATCCCACCCCAGCTCTTCCCAAAGAGATCTACCTTGTGTTTCCTTCTAGGCTTACCAAAAACCATTCTGGCCCCGTCTCCCATCCTCCAGTCTCTGCAGCACCCTCCAACACTCCTGCTGCTCCCCCCTGACTCTGGGAGGCACTTATTGGCTCCTAAAGGCTCCCTGCCTTCCCGAGCCCCTGCCCTTGCTCCTGCTCCTGTACCCAGCACCCAGACCCCTTCCCCACTGCCGCCAGCAACCTCCTCCCTGATGTGGAATTTCCTGTCGCCATCACTGCTCCAGGAGGGTCCATTGCCCTCAAGTCATCCTGCTGCTGCTCCACCACCCTCCCCTGATGCTCCACCTTCCCCCTGCTGGCATCAGGGGGCACTGTGGGAGCATGATAGCCGCTGGATGGAGCCCAGCTGCCTGAGCTGTACTTGCAAGGTATGTGCCTTTCTGGTGCGACCCATCTCCCTCAGCTGTGGTTTTGCCATCCCCCTGCCTTTTTAATCGGGCTTTTTTGTTGCAGGGGGGCCATGTGTTGTGTGAAGTAGTGACCTGCAGGATCTCCTGTTCCCACCCAGTGCCCCCAAAGAATGGGGAGTGCTGCCCCAGCTGCACAGGTAAGGTTCACCTTCCCTTGGGGACTTGATTTACCTGGGAAAACCCAAGTAGCCCTAGGTGGGCCTAGGTGGTTCATCACCTGCTGGCTTCTGCCCAAGAAAGGTAAGACTTTTGCATTCCCTAGAGGACTAGACTGAGTAGTAGCATAGGCTAGCCTCTCTTCCCCTACCCTCTGCCTTGTAGACACTCTAAGGAGGGAGGCTACAGCATGCCTCCCACTGCCATTGCTTTCTTGTCTCTTTCAGGCTGTCTGTACAATGGGGTCACCCGGGCTGAAGGGGATGTATTTTCTCTCTCCAGTGGGAACTGCACCGTGTGTGTGTGCCTGGTGAGTGTTGCCCCATCTGGGGGGACTCTGGATGCTTGCTCCCCTTGAGCTTGGGGGGCTACATGTGTTGGAAGGGTATTGGTGGTGTGATCCGATATCATCACAGCACTGCATGAGGGACAGCCTTGGATTCCTCCATTGAGATGGCTCCACCACTACCTTCTCCTCCAATGGGAAGACAGGTCATGATCCCAGTGTAGGAGTCTCCAAAGGACAACTGGGCAGGGCAGGTAGTAGCTAGGGATCTTTTGAGGAGGTTTTGATTTGGAGGCATGGTGTAGGATCTGACCTGGAATAATGGAGTTTTGTTGGGGGAACATGAAGCAAATGACTTAAGATGATGCCTCAAGAGGGCAGTGGCAGGCCATTGAGCAGAGCTGCTGGAACTAGTGCCCAGGGGCTGCTTCTGAGTCTACAGCTGCAATTTTCCCCTGTTCCTAGAAAGAAAGACCCTTTGATGATGGTCAGATCCTATCCTCAAAGTAACAGCTAGTGCTGGGACCTCACTGTCCCAGCAAATCCTGAAATCCCCCACCTCTGCTGGTGTGAGGTTTGTTTGATGTTATTGGGGCAGGGCAGGTCTGTGGTGATGGGGATTTCCCTTTGGGCTTGTTACCTGCCCTGGAAATTACAGTCATCAGTGCTTGGAAGGACTTAGAGCTGTGGGAAGGTAAGTGTGAGCAGGGACAGGTTGGAGGTGGCAGGTTTGACAACACGGTATCTTCCCTCACCCAGTGGGCAGGAGGTGATGAAGTGGCCCTCCTTTTTAGGCAGCAAGGTTGATAAAAATCAGTGAGTTACACAAAAACATATTAAAATTGATTAAGAAAAATATGTTTTTAAAACATTTTAAATGAAATGTATTTTTCTTCATAAAAATAAGCATTTAAAATTTAAAATTTTGAAAGTGCCAGCCTATGTTAAGGCCTAATTTACTAAAATCTTGTAAAAAATATTTAAAATGTATTTGCTGCCAAAGTCTTTTAAAGACTGTCAAGTCACTCTAGTGATGAAAGTCGATAGCCAAGCCCCTGGAACTAGAGTTTGCTGAAGTATTAAACCAGTTGTTGGCAGCAGTGGCCTTTTGTGCAGGTGCAGAGAGAATATTTTTAATGCTTCAGTTTATTTAACTAGTTTGGTTCAACAACTAAATCATTCAAAGATAAACTGATTTGGAACTGAAAAAGTGGAAAACTTTTGTTTTCCTTATGTCCTGTGAGTGAAAGCTGTGTGTGAAAGGATGAGATCTGTTAGTTCTAACACCTGCAAGACATGGTGATCCTGTCATGCAGACATTTAATTAATGAAGTATGTATTATGCTCCTTGTAATTTATTTTAAATGCAAAATGTTTTGATAAATTCACTTTCTTTTTCTCGTGTGTCCAGGACATTTAAGATGGTTTTATAAAACTAATAGAAAATAGATTTTAAAAGGTGGTGTTCTGCAGTTTTGATTGAATCCTAATTTCGATCTCCATATATCTTGAGACAAAAAATGAGTAAAATTTAATGCATCACCTAGTAACAAAGAATTGCATCATTCTCCGTTTATTATCATAATAAAAGTAATGTAAGAATTAAGATTCAGATATGTTACATGAAGCGATTCCATAGCTGAAATTGGGCAAGCTCAAGCTCTAGTCTAGCCCATGGGCCAAGATCTGGCCCATGAGGCCATGTCAGCTGGCCTATGGATCTCCTCACAGGCCCAAATATTGGCAGTGGGGGAGCAGTGGTTGCTTTAATTGCAGCTCCCCTGTTGCCAAATTTCTGGATGGGTGGGAAGCCCCATGGTCCAGATGACATGGCCGATGGACTAGATGGTACCAGTGTGCAGTGGAGCTGGGTCAAGCTAGTGAGCAACCAGAACTGGTGCATGAGATCAGGGTGTGTGTGGTGGTGTGCACGACCAAGCCAGCACTCTGGATCGCATCCATAGATCACACCACTCATCTCATCTGTGGGGCCAGAAGGCTGAGCATCACTGGCTTAAATAATACAGATGTAGATAGCATAACTTTGACACAAGCAAAAAGATGACTGAATTTAACATAAAGGTTGTGTTTATTTACAACTTAAGATGGCTGAAACAACATGCTGAAACCACATATGCTAAATAAATAAATTTACATTGCAGCATGTTTGAATGTTTGTTGGCCATGGAGAACTACTCTTTTTCTAGGTAAAAGTGCCCCATTTACAGGCCATCAAGGCAGGGCTCCACTGTTTCTTTAACCTCCTCCGCACAAGAAGAAGGTGATATGGTCGGCACCACACTCTGGCCACCTTTGAACCCAGGGAGGTCGTGGTACCAATTGGTTAGGAGGCTAGGTGGACCTAAGTGCCACACTAGAAGTGGGAACAATAAATGGAAACCTATCGCCCTCACTTGAGATTAAACCAACGTCCTTCCAGTCAGTATACAATTGCCCTACCAACTTTTGCAGCTCTCTCTGTCTTTACAAAATGAAATAAAATTAACAAATGCAAAACCAAATAAAAACAGGTGATTTAAATCAAGATTATTTAAATGAATGTAATATTTAAATTCCTTTATTCAATCCACTACTTAAATAATTTAAATCAAGATCATTTAAATCAATCAATCAATAGAACATTTAAGTTGATCAGTTAAATTACACTTGCTGATTTAAATTGTGATTAAAAGGGGAAGATTGAATTGTTTTGATTTACATTAATTTACCTAGTTTGGCTGGTGGCAATGTGGCTCTAAAGGAGTGCCCACAAGAGGTGAGAGCTGCACAGCCCTGAAGATGTCCGATGCTGTCATTGCCTCATCCCTGCCTATTCCATTCCCTTTGGTTTCTCTCTCTTCCAGGCTGGCAATGTTTCCTGTATCTCTCTTGAGTGCCCTCCAGGCTCCTGCCACAGCCCTGCCCAGTCTGATTGCTGCTCCTGTCAGCCAGGTTAGTCTCTTAGCCACCTCAGCAACTTCAGGGGCTCCAGGGTATACCGCTGGGTTGCCTAGAACGTGGAGGAGAAGGAATGTTGAAGCCTGGTGTATGCTTCATTGATAGCTGCATGAAAGATGCATGATCAGTCATGAGGCAGCATTGCTGAATGGTCAAAGCATGGGACTCCAGGTTCTTTTCCCAGTGGGGGCCCTTGGGGAAGGTACTGATACTCTCTGCCTCAGTTTCCCTTTTGGGAGATGGCTCCAGCCAGCACTGATTCTGGGTGCCTCACCTGCAGCTGTGGGGCTGACAGTCTCTCTCCTCCCCTGCAGCTAAGTGCAAGTTCCAAGGTCGCAAGTATGCACATGGGGAGGAATTCAGCTTGGATGGGGATGACTGCACCACCTGTGTTTGTCGGGTAGGCCTCATGCAGGGGCTTAGTATGGGGGAACTGTAGCAGCCTGGGGATTGCACTCACTCTGTGGGAGAGAGGGCAGATCCAGACCAGATTCTGGTGCCAAGGAAAGGCACAGCCTAGGAGAGCTCCTGGGGGTGCCTCAAAGCACTGGACAACTAAGGGCCCTGACTCCTGAAGCAGTCTATTTTGTGAGACTGACTGGGGGTGGGGGAGGAGGAGAAGTCTCTTTTCTGAGGAGGGACTAGGACAGGGGTCTGGAAGCTCTGCCAAGACTGGCTCAGCTGGAGTCCTCTGTGTAAAACCTCTGGCAGGGCCTGGTTTTAGAGACCCATTCAGTGGGAGGAAGGACGAAGAGGTGGAGCTGGAAGCAGCCCTTAGGGTTGCCCGGCCCTTCTCCACCGATGGCTCCAAGCCAGCATAATGTCATTGCATGGTGTGACACATGCTACTCTCTCTCCAGAGTGGGGAGGTGGAGTGCTCCTTCACCCCTTGCCCCGTGCTACAGTGTCCTCGCCAGGACTGGCTGCTAGTACCAGGGCAGTGCTGCTTTTCATGCCAAGAGCCTGTGCCCGTGTCAGGTGAGAGGGAAGGTGTGTGACAAACGGTGATGGGAAGGCTTAGGCCATGTGTGCATGCGAGGGGCACAGGATGAGGGGATACATGTGTATGCTTAGGAGGGATGAGAAGCAAAGAGGTATAAGTTGGGGTGTAGGGTGTGTATGAGAGATGGGTGTGAAGCTGGGAGGTGTAGGAATATGTGCATCTGAGATGGCAGAATGGTATGTATGAGAGAGAGAGGTGTGGGGCAAGGAAGGATATGGGCATGTGACACACAGGCAGGGTTGGGGAAATGTATGCATGTGTGATAGGCTAGACTGGGGAGGTGCAAGTGGTGGGGGAGTGTCACTGGTGGGGAGCAAACAAGTCTACCTCACACACTGTGAGCTACAGTGTGTAGCTTTCCTTCAGCTCTTCAGCCCTGTCCTGGACACTCTGTCCTGGAGTGCCTTGGCCTTCCCGCCAGCTCTAACCTTATCTCTGAAGCTGCCTCTTTTCCTTCATCTGTGGCTAGGTTGCTTCATGGATGACAATGGGGTTGAGTTTCCCATCGGACAGATCTGGTCTCCGGGTGATCCCTGTGAGTTATGCATCTGCCAGGTGAATGAGAACCTGCTCTACTTCACTTCCTTTACTTGTCTGTCTGGCACCCCTTGCACACAGCTCCCCCTGCCTGCCCCTCCTGAGCTAGCCATCACATGCAGTCTCCCCTAGCCAGGGCTGGTGCCAAGCACTGGGACGTGGGTAGAATGTGGCAGAGCAGCCTCAGCCTGGTAGGGCAGAGGTGTGTATAACAGAGCACACACCAACTGCAGATGCTTCCTCAGCCTGACAAAGGGTATTTATACCTGAAAGCATGCGAAGAAGAATTTTTCCAACTATTTGTGTTGGTCTAATAAAAGATATCAGATTTACCCAAAGAACCTTGTCTGCCTATGTCCTTAGACCAACACAGCTACAACCTATGCCTCTGAAACATTGGTGGAGGGGCATTCTTGAAATATCAGTTTTCAAAGTAACAATGCCACAATGAATTTGTAATATCATCTGGAATTCTTACCTTATCCAGAGGTTCCCCAGACTGTCACTGGGGCTGCTGCAGGCTGTGGCTCCTTACTCTAATACCCTTAATCTGATGCAGCATCCTCCATGTAGAAAGATGCCCACAGCTCTGTATGGGCATGTAGAAGTGAGGTTTGCTTGCCTGTCACTGAAATGCAGCCACCTCTGGGGTAGAATATGGCTGCTATTTAACAGCATACTCCTTTGTGAAGGGGCTGGCTGTGTGGAATGGCTGGCATAGGGGTTGGCCATAGGTTTCTCTCAAGTGTTTCTCATTGCAGGCAGATGGCTCGGTGAGCTGCAAGCGGACAGAGTGTTTGGAGACGTGTCCTCATCCTATTCAGATTCCAGGACAGTGCTGCCCAGACTGCTCAGCAGGTGACGGGACTTGGGGTCAGGAAGCTATCTGCTCTAGCGAGCTGCCTAGCATAAGCCACCAAGAACACCCTCCAGAAGGGAGAAGTCCACATCAGATCCTGAGAGGAGGAAATGAAAATAGTCACCCTACAGCAGAGCCCCAGGTTGAACAACCAGTGAAAGGGGATGCCCCCCTCCATTGCCTAGCTGGCTCTTGGCCTCTTTGCTTAGGCAGATGTCAGCTAGGCCACTTGCGGCATGTCTGCACCATCTCCATCAGTGCCAGGGAGACCCACCCACCCTGTACCTGTCAAATGCTGAGAACAGGTAATGGAGTCATACACCTGAAGCCTCAGGCAGACTTCTTGACATGTACCCAGCCCTGCTTTCACAGTGACTGTTACATTTGGCATGTACAAAGCAGGATGGAATAAGTGGGGCATGTTTTTTCAGCAGTCTTGCCTTGCACAGTCAGAGTCATTATAGACAGGCCCTTTGTGGTTCTTGAGAAAATGAGAACCAGCCCCTCCAGCAGCTCTAAGACATCAACAGCTTCAGTCACCATCAACACAGGTCTGAATTTGAACTGATGACCAAACTCTGAATAGGTATTCATCCCATTACCTACCCCCCTGTCCTGGTGGAGGAAGCTCAGTATATGTCCCCTGCAGGCTTGTTCCCTGCTTTTGGTCTCTCCACCCATCCGGGTGTGCCATGGCCTCCCTGGAAGAGGCTTGACTTTCTGGTGGGAGGTGATGTGAACATGCCTTTCCTTCTTTCTTCTCCCTGAAGGCTGCACCTATATGGGAAGGGTCTTCTACAACAACGAGACATTCCCTTCTGTCCTAGATCCCTGCCTTAGCTGCATCTGTCTGGTAAGAGTTTTGCTTTCCACACTGACTCACCTGTAGACAAAGCTGCTTTTAGGGCTGTGTTCAACCTGAGTCTGAACCGTCCATACCCCAGCAGTCCAAAGGTAGTCCCAGATCTGTACAAAATCGAGCAGTTTATGGCTGTAAGAGTTAGGCAGGCAACCACTGAAGTCCCCAACCCTATGAGAAAGGTCCAATGGGATGAGGTCCAGCAAACTGAGGAATGTTTTAATTAAAATTTATTGAAAAATGGGGGAGGATGGAGATCCGAAGAAAGCTTCAGTAAAAATGGGACAGGGGGAGAGGTTAATCAAGGGTAGAGGTGAAGGTTTCTTTTAAATTTACTGTGACAATTTTCAACTTCTTCAGTAGAAATTTGAAAACCAAAATATTTTGATTTGGAAATGCCAGTTTTGTGATTTATGTGAGGTGTAGTTTGGGTGCCTTGTGCTCCCATTTCCCTCTATAGGCAGGATTTACTGGTCAGACTACACTTCCCCTGACACACCATGGCCTTCCCTGTTGAGGGTGGGGGGCAGTTGCATCTTGGGAGCCCCTGGTCATGGTGTATTGTGGGGAACATAGTGCAGCTGGGGAGGCCAGTACACAGAAAGGAATGGGGGCATGAGACAACTGAACTGCATCCTATGAGCCACCACAAGATCAGGTTTCTAATAAAAATATTTGAGTTTTAGGTCATTCAAGGTCTTTTTGGATGAAGAATTTTGGAAAGATTCATTTTCTGTCAAACCAGTTTTAATGATGTGGCCCATTTCATCCCTGGTCAGTCCCAGCTGCACAGTCACCTGCCCACCTGGGTCTGCCATTAAAACAGAGGTCCTCTGTCTTCCTGCCTTTCTCTCTCATGTCCTGCAGCTTGGCTCTGTGGCTTGCTCTCCTGTAGACTGTACCGTCTTTTGTACATACCCGTTCCACCCTGAAGGGGAATGCTGTCCTGTCTGTAATGGTAAGTACCACAGCCTCAGAGATCTCCTGTCTCTGAACTACAGTGGATGCTCAGCATCTATGGTCTCCTCATGTGAGGAAGTGGTTTGGGTCCAATCAGTATGGAGACATTTCTAGAGAGCTCATGGGCTTCCCCAGTGCCTGAGTGTGGTGCTAGGACAAGGGTGCTCAACTGCTGGCTCACAGCACCATGTCCTTCAGCCTCGGGGGCTCCCAATGGGTCTGGAAATTTGGTGGTGAGACAACAGTGATACTGTTCCCCCGCTGCCAAATCTCTGGACCTATGGGGAGCCCTAGGGCTTGCATGCTGGATCCAGCCAGGTGGCGGCAATGCCTTGTCCCCTTGACCCAATTCCGGCACACAGGGCAGGGAGGGGGTGATGCCATATCACAGGACATAAACCAGCCTGCAGAAGAGACCCGACATCATTCACTGGTCTGCAGGGCCAAAAGGTTAAGCACCACTGTGCTAGGGGGTGCCAATGATATAGGCAGGGATGCATTTGGGACTGCTGAGTCCAATTTCCCATTATGGCACAGAGCACTGTGCTTTTGGACGTGCTGCTATCTGGCTGAGACATTGATTGAAGGATCTGGCCATGTTGGGGTCCTTCATACTTCCTTGGCCCTTTTTGTAAGGTTAAGGATTCTATTTCTTTTCCCTATGCCCTGCCCTGGCAGTGTGAATTAGGTAACATATTCTTCTTCACTGCCTGTCCTAAACTCTCCTGCACAATATTGCTGTGGGCTGTTGGATGTCTGGTACATCCTCTCCTTAAAAGTGGCAGTATTTCAGCTTCAAATACCAAGCAGGATCAGGGCCACCTTGTGATAGGCTGTGTAGAAACTCACTGTAAACTCTACAGGGCAGGGGCTGTCCCTTTCTTTTGAATGAGAAGAGGAGAAGGGACTTGCCCTAGGTCACACAGCAGATTGGTGGCACAAATTGCCTGTTGTCTCTACCCACCAGACCATGCTGCCCTATGTTTGCGACCATCAATCCAGTGTATTATTCTTACTCTGGTATTAAAGCTCAGTTCATCTCAACCCTGTAGATTGTAACTATGAAGGCAGGAAGGTGGTGAATGGACAGACGTTTGTACCAGAGGCAGAGCCCTGTATTCACTGCACCTGCCAGGTGAGTCGAACCTGGGAAGGGAGAGGGGATTGCTCTGTGGGAATTGGGAGGTGAGTGGGAAGGTGCATGAATCAGTCAAGAACCTCATGGACTGAGTTGCCTTGAGGTGCTATCCCAAGAGATCTCTAGGAAGGCTGCAGTGAAAGGTGCTAGGCAATACCCAGCTCTGGTGAGAGCAGTCATCTGGCCCTTACAGTGCTGACAGGTATTTGGCATGTGCCGCTGGCCTGGTCAAGGGAGCAGGGAAAGCAAGAGTTTTGAGGGAAGAGCCCCAGCTTCTCCCCCACGGTATAGGTCAGTATCATTTTTCAAGGCCAAGAGGAGAGGAAGATAGCAAGAAGGATGCGAAACAGTGTGTGAGGAGCAGGGGGAATCTCATGGGATGATGTGTCTCTCCTCTTCCTTTGCCTCCCTTTTCAGTTTGGGGAGGTGAGCTGTGAGAAGAGACCTTGCCCCATTTCCTGCACAGAGTCCTCCACAACCCCCACTGACTGCTGCCTGGGCTGCCAAGGTAACAGCACTCATAACACCAAGAACTTGGTCAGTTCTATAACCCAACTAACACCATGTGGCTTAGCTCTGTAGCCCCTCCTCCCTCACTTGAAGTGATGACCCTTAATGGGTCATTGTCAAGGGTTGAGAAACTCTAGAGGGGAAACTGTGAGCCCCTGGTCCCTCAGCTCAGGGGCAGCAGGTGATCCATAAACCTCTACATGTGACATGACTGCTAAAGCGGGGCAGAGAACATGGGAATCAGGCAGGGCCTCTTGGGTCCTATCTGGCCTGAGCTTTCATCAGGATATGGTGGGTGACTGAGATGACTTGACACCCCCTCATGATAGACCTCACAATATCTCTACAAGTACCATAACTTAGTGCTGTTGCCCAGTGTGGTTGAATCCATACCAACAAAGGCAGCCTTGTACCATGTCCCTACACAGCTGCAGACCTGGAATGTGTTGTGATGCATGAGAACAATGACTGGCTTTGCTGTTCTGGTGACAGAGCAGGGAACCAGGTTGTGTGTTTGTGCTCACAAGAGTCTCTGGTCTCAGATCCTTATTGTCTTCCCTTCCCCGGATGGATAAGACTCCCACAGAACATAGACCCAAGGGAGGGGGATAGATTTGTAATGGAGCTAGTGTTAATGCTGGTCCTGTCTCCATTCACTGCAGTCAGCCAGGTTCTTCTGCAGAGCAGTCGTGGCCCTGGACAACTGGATGACATGGAGTCCAGGCTATCCCAAGCACACAGTCCCCGAGAGGACTCTGTGGCCCTGCCGAGTGGCAGCAACTGCAGCCTCTGTCCTAGTGTCCATCTTCCAGCTTCTCCCAGCCGCCTTGCCCAGCTCCTTGCAGGAAGCAACATGCCCACTCAGCATGCTGGGCCCACAAATGTGGCTGGACCTCATCCTGCTGGGACAGGGGCCCTTGGGCCACTTCTGAAGAGGTTAGGAGGCACAGCATCCCCTCTGACTGGGCCAAGCTCTCCAGAATCCCATAGGTCTGCTCCTGACCTTTTCATTCTGAAAGAAACTTCTGGGTCTGTCACTGCAAATCCAACCCCTTCCCAACCCCCTGCACCCCCCAGCCCAGATCCCACAAGTGACCATCTGCCCTCTGAAGGTAGCCGTAGCTCAGGGCCTGTTCTTCAGAAACCTTCCCTGCTCCCATCAGGAGGAGTAGAGGAGCCTGTGGATAGGGAGGCTGGAGTGCCTCCAAGCGGGGAGAGTAAACCTGGCCCTCTGACTCCATAGTGCTCCTCACTAAGGGGCTAGGGAGTGCCAGGCCCAGTTGGAGCTGTTTGAGGAAGAGGAGGCAACTTGCAAAAGGTTACAGGCCTTATCTAGCAGATAGGGGCACAGAGGGGCCATGTCATTCTGTGCCAGGGTCAAGGGAAGGGCAATGTTGCCTCCAGAGCTGTGAGTGGGCTCTGTCCTTTACTCTGCTGGTGCCCCCAGGCTGTTTCCTCCCTATATCCTCTGGGAGTGGAGGTGTCTCAAAAGAGGCAGTGCCATACTACCGGGAGGAGACAATACGTTCCTGCTGTGGTGGCTTGAGTAGTCCTAAGTGACCATGGGGCGTTGTGACACTCTATGAGTGCACATTCCCCACCTGAGATTCCAGTTCAGTCACCCCCTCAGTCCTTCTGGCTTGTCGGCCTTCTCTGAGCAGGTGGTGATGGGGAAATGTCAAGAGCCACCCAAGTCTGGCTCCCCTCCACTTTGAGACATACCCCGGTGGCCCTAGGGGATCTCCGTGCAGGGCTCGTGGACTGATAACTTTCCCAACCCAAGAAAGCCTCTACTTTGGGGTGCTCCCTGCCTTGGTCACCCCCCAGGGTCCCTGAATCCAGCCCCCATATCTCCAGCCTCAGACAGGCCCAGGTTTCTGCATTTGGCCTCTGGCATTCCTACCATTTCTCACAAACACGGGGTCAAGAGTACAAGCTGCCCAAAAGATTTGAACACTCACTTCCTAGTAAGCATCTAGATTCCCTGGGCAGCTCTGAAATCTCCCTCTGACTTTTCTGATTCTTTGGAGCTGGCAGGGGGTCTCTTAGCCTCCTAGATGGGGGTTGGACAAGCTGGATTTCCCAAGTGGCTTACAGTGGACGGGTGTCTGATCTGCCTTTAGGGACAGGCTGCCCCTCCTCTAACTTGATTATTAATAAAGTTTTCATAATTATTTAACCCAAGCATTCCTTCCTGCTGCCTATGGTGGGCTCTGCCTGGGTGGACTCAGTGAATCTGGGGCTGACACCTCTGACATTATACAGCTGGTGCTTGCCTTTGAATGCTCTCCTCTCCTGGCACTGGTTTCTCCATCCAATCTGGACTTGGCTTCCCCAGCTGGTCTTTGTACAGGGGGTGACCCCAGGCAGGGGGTGGAGCTGCAGGAATATAGAGCTGGATATCCATTTCTGGCATTTCACAGTCTCCCCATCTCTTTGTTGAGATGAGATGCACCTGTGGCACCCTGCGGCTGGGAACCAGTTCCTATTACAGCTGTGTGTGGTCTGGGAGGAATGGTAGAAGCCTTTGATGGCATTTTTTCTCGGGGCAGAATTCACTAAGACCTTACCTCTGTTCACTTTTACTCTGTGGGGGAAGGTGCCTGCCCCACAGGACCCTGACCATGGGTCCTTCCACAGAGGCTATGATACCAGTTCATGTCACTGGATGTCCACACAGGCTGAGGGATTTCATGGAAAGGGAGGCTGCTCTTCAGCCAGAGGCTGAGCTGACCAGTGTGGCCTGGCTTCACAGAGTGCCTGTGCTCCGGGGTCAACTAATATGTCTTTCCTTTGCTCATGCAAGGGAGCACCTGGGACCACAGCCACCTTTCTTGGGCACTTGCATCTTCTTTGTGCCAGCATGTATATGTTCATATGGCTGAACCTAGGGCTCAAGGGGTTAATAAGCTTGGCACGAAGGTCTGAGTTTATGCTTGGAACTACTTTAGTTTAATCTCACCTTCTACTTCCAGCCTAGTTCTAACCCCACTCCCTGCCATGGACCCTTCCCCCAATCTCCCAGGAAAGGGTATTATTATTATAATTGGTCATCTGAATTGGGGTAGTGCCTAGCAGCCCAAGGCATGGATCAGGACACCATCGCACTAAGTGCTATACAGACAGAACAAAAAGACAGTCTCTGAATTTCCAAGAATTTACATTCTGAACATAAGACAGGAAAACAGGTGCCTGCCAACAGACAAGGGAGAACAGGAAAGCAAAGAGATGGCTTTGGTCAGTATGACTGGCAGTGAGTTTGGTACTCTGATTGCCCTGGGCCTTGTTAGGTCCTTTGTAGGGGTAGAGAGTCTGCCCTGAAACTAGGGTTAGGGCTGGGGCTAGCACTAGAATAGCACTAGCATTGGGACTAGCCCTGGAGTTGGCTTCATGGTTATTGTGCACTAGAGCATAAGGTGAAGTGTTCTATAGCATGTGGTCTAGGTAATAGCTTTCCATCCACACCTAATCCCTATTTTATATCTAACCTTGCCCCTGACAAGCTGTATTCCAGAGTCACTAGCATCTATTCCACAGCCCCTTACTGACCCCCTGTTTTAAGACAGTTTCAGCCAGTAGCTTATGGTGCACAGAAAAATCCAAATGCCGCATCAGAATCTAAGGCTTATCCTGTGTTTGCTTATATCCCAAAGGTGTGAAAAAAACAAACTATTTGGAAAGTTTTCTTTGGTTCAAAATGCTGAGTGAAACCAGGCATATTTTCACCAGAAGACGAGTGTTTTTTAAACAAAAATGCTGAGAGTTCAAGGTGAGAGCCACTGCGAGTCAGAATCTAGTGTTTCTGGTAGCAATCAAGATTGGTCGGTAATAGGGGGAGGTTTGGACCTTTAGTGCTTCTGATGTCCTTGTGACCTATGTGCACTTGAGTATTTATATGTGTTCACCAAATGACCAAATGGTGGTGAATTTTTACACAGCATACCAGCAGCCTGTGGAACTCTCACAATAAATCTTTGAGTCTTTGTGTTTGGCAGGATCCAAAAAATGACCTGGTATTTTCCTGGATGCTGAGAGTAACCAGAGTTATATAACTACAAGCTAAAGAAATACAGAAGGGCTGTAAATTCTCCCACTTCAGAGGACCAGGCAGCCTCAAACAGGGAGCAGGAAGAAGCTTGTGCCGTGGGCAGGTTATTCTACAATTACTATTTGGATCTCTCCTCTGAAGCAGCTGGTGTTTGGCTGCTGGAGACACAACCCTGGGCTACCTGAGATGTAGGTCAGATCTAGTGTGGCAATTCCTATGGTTATGAACTGGTGTGAAAAATATGTCTCCAAGCTCCCTTTGCTCTGCACCCCAACTCAGACAGCCCCTCAACCTTACCCCAACCCTGCTGTACCCACTTCTCAGGCTAGCCTCAGCTCTCACCCTACTGTGTTGGGAGGAACAGTAAGTACAGGATCCTCTCCTGGCCCCAGAGTACATGCCAGACCTGTGAGCTGACCCAGCTGGGGCTTGCCCCAGATTAAGGAAGAGCACTAACATCCAGGCCAGGAAGTCAGTCCAGCTAGAAGGGTTGAACAGCAACCTTTGGGCACTGAGCAGCCTGAGCCTGAAGATGCTAGAAAGCAGGACAAGCATGTACAGTAAGTATGTAAGTCCTGAGGGCCGGGGAGCACCCTCTGGGCCTGCAGCCTGGAGAGCTCACTAGGAAAGCAGTAACATCAGTGCCTTTCACACATATTGTCAGGCCTGGAAGAAGTTGGTAAGTCTCCCGTGCCTTCCCTGATGCTTCCTTTGTGGCTACTGAAGTTAGGATCCTAACTATTTTTAGTAATATGTCCGCATTTTAAGATGGAGTAATATAATCCAGCATGGTTTTAATGTTAAAAAAACAAGTTTTATGAAAAAGCCATTTGTGACCCTTTAAAAAAAAAAAAGCCAATCGTGACCCTTTAAAAAAAAAAAAGCCAATCAGCCAATTTGGGCCTCCCAGAATGCCTGTGCTTGGCACAAAATTCCTGGTTTTTCCTTCCCTGTGGGCAGAACTGAATTGCCAGCCTCTGAAGATCCAAAATCATGAGTCAGACTCCCAAATAATGATGAAATTGTTTCTCCAAATTATGATTTTAAAAAAATCAAGTAATTTGTCTTTGAAATTCTAACCCCACCCCTCTGAGGTGCACACACATTGCCCATGTGTATGATAACTTTAGGTTGAGAAGTCCTATACTGCACATGAAAATGTGCATCTTTCCCAGGCTGCCCAAATGGAGACTGCCCTGACCTATGCTTACTTACCCCTATACTATGGGGACCTGCCTTACATTCTCTATTGCTGTCCTTTTTTCCTTCCTCCTTTCCCACCTCTTCTCCATTTTCCACTTCTGTAGTGAGGGCTACAAAATGGAGTGAGGGGATATGAGCAGTTAGCAGCTCAGAAACAGAAAGCACAGATCTAAGGGAGCCCAGAGGCAGCAAGAGGCAGGGTAGTTCTGTTGCTCGTCCCCGGCCATAACTCTCGTGCTGTTTGCAGTAGGGAGAAGTGCAGGAATGAAGGAGCATTGTGTACCATCGTTCCTCTAGAAAGCACAAAAATCCCATAACGGGATGAGTTTGTTGAGGTTGGGAACATTGTTGTCACATAGGCTGCTGGGAGTAAACTCCCTTTCCCTCTGCTACCTACCTGATGGGTGGGAGCTGCCAGCTCATCTCCTCTTCTTCCCGCTACTATTTTCTGCACCCACACCTCTTAATGCCTCAAGGTCCTCACCTTCCCCATACGGCATATAACAGGAGTTGTTTCCTATAGGCCCTGTGCCTGACAAGTGTCTGATCTAGCTGTCCTGAACAATATGTTTTCTTTATGGACAATGGTCTCCGCCTCATTGAAAGATCATATACACCCAAAACACTTGCAGGGTTTCCATGGACTCTTACCTCCTTTCTATATCCCCCTTAGTAGCCACCATAAACTGTGCTGCTAAATGTCCAGTAGCTTGAATTTTGGAAGCTCAAGTGAGATTATACCTCTTTTGAGGATGAGCGTGGTCTGGGATCTGCCTACCTAAGAGATCACCTTTCTCCCCTTGCCATATGTCTGTGGCTGAGATCAGATAAGGGTTTTTTTGCCTTTTGCCATCCTCACAAACTGGTGGCCCTCATCACTCCACTTACTCCAGTAAGATACAGGCTTTGTTACCCCCCACTAACATTGCTGCATTATGCATTTCCCCATGAGGAGGAGGCAGTTTTGTCCTTCCTGGAGATGGTTTCTGTTGTAAATAAGGCTGAAAACCGGTTATCTACCCTGCTCTACCCCACTGCCTGTGGCTCCATTAAAGGTGTTGCTATAGCTCCTTGCTCCTCATCCTATCTGGACTCTAGGTTGAGCTCCCTTTGGTGCTCTCAGGCATCACATTCCTATTTGGCATTTCTTTTCCAATAGTCCAAACTTACTGGCAAATCAGTGTGGAAAGGTACGTCCCACCACTTGGTCTTTGCCCCAAGGTGACCAAGTGGTGGGACGTAAAGACCAAGTGGTGGGATGTATCTGTTCTTCAGTATTCTCTTCTCTATACTAAATAAGCCCAGTACCCTCAGTTTCTCTTCATAAGTCATGTGCCCCAGACCTCTCATCATTTTTGTTGACTCTCCAATTTGCCCACATCCTTTTTGTAGTGGGGAGCCCAAAACTGGACACAGTACTCCAGATGTGGTCTCACTAGTGCTGAATAGAGAGGAATAATTGCTTCTCTTGACCTGCTGACAGCACTCTTACCAATGCAGCCCAGTATGCCATTAGCTTTCTTGGCAACAAGGGCACACTGCTGGCTCATGTTCAGCTTCTTGTCCACTGTAACCCCCAGATCCTTTTCCGCAGAGTTGTTGCCCAGCCAGTCAGCCCCCAGCCTATAGCAGTGCATGGGATTGTTCCGTCCTAAGTGCAGGACTTTGCACTTGCCCTTGTTAAACCTCATGAGATTCCTTTTGGCCCAATCCTCCAATTTGTCTAGGCCACTCTGAATCCTAGCCATACCCTCCAGCATATCTAACTTCCCTCAGCTTGGTGTCGTCTGCGCTTCATCCCATCTTCCAGGTTGTTGATGAAGACATTGAACAAAACCAGCCCCAGGAGTGACTCTTGGGGCACTCCACTTGATACTGGCTGGCAACTAAACATCGAGTCATTGATTACTACCTTCTGACCCCAATGCTCCAGCCAGTTTTCTGTCCACCTTACCATCCATTCATCCAGCCCGT